GGACGGCTAGCGCAGGTAGCCCTCGTGTAGCTTTGCGTGAAATTCAAAAACAAAAAAAACAAACAGACATAGCTAAGAAAAGGTGAGCAAACGTAATTGTAAAGTGCTAAGGAAAACGGAATAATTTGATCGCACAATGCAAGAACAAGATCTGATAATGTATTGGGGAGAAAATAGTGCAAGGAAAGGTGGATCGTAGTTAGCCATTGCAAATAAAGATAAGATCGTAGTCATAAGGTACAAAGAAAATGTGAAACAGTAGTGGATATTGCAACGAAAAGGTAGATCGGCTAGTATCTTTATACCACAATCCTTGTATAATAATCCCATTCTCAACCAGATTATTTGTATATTTTACTTACTTTTGGCATAGGGTAAAGGATACATGTTTGTTAACCGATCATTAAATAACTGTAATTCCTTAATATTTATTTATACCTTGTAGCATCATTTTCATTTTTATTTATATCTTTTAAGATTTAATATTGGGGTTTTAGACTATTGGTTACGGAGAAAACGTTCACATTCTCATCATTTCTATTTATATCTTTTAAGATTTAATATTGGGGTTTTAGATTATTCATTGCTGAGAAAACGTTCACGTTCTAATCGTTTTATTTTTGGCTGTTTCCTTGCAAAAGAAAATATTCTCAGGTAACACACCAATCTTTCTGAAACGGAGATATGACAGAGAGGAGAAAATTTACTCGCGCGTTTATTGAACTGAAAGAAGATTGATTCATAAACAGAAAGAGAACGTTCGATTCTATATACAAGAACTGGAAAGTTTCAGTTTTATTCGTGGAATGTCTTTCGTTCACTTTATTAAATTATTTGCATGCCTGTATGTACAGTATATTAAATTTGAATTTTAAAGTATGTTCATCTAGGTGAATGGCAAAACACGTGCCAATTTTCTTACCATTTGCTATTTCTAAAAATCTGTGGGTATAACACGTATATAAATATATATATATATATGTGTGTGTGTGTATATATATATATGTGTGTGTGTGTGTATATATATACACTTTTCATCATTACTGTGCTTTAAGCAGTATAACATGCAGACTTTTCATCATTACTGTGCTTTAAGCAGTATAACATGCAGACTTTTCATCATTACTGTGCTTTAAGCAGTATAACATGCAGACTTTTCATCATTACTGTGCTTTAAGCAGTATAACATACAGAAGGAACTGTAATTAACTTTGTTATAAGAATTGAAGAACTTGTCATATTTCAGTTAAACATGATAAGGTATTATGTTTTTTCTTCATTTTTAATTAGTAGAACATTTCTTGATTAATATCATTAAATACGCTGCACCTTAATGTAGTTTATTTTGTGCTAGAGAACTAACGCTTTTTGAAATGTTAATGCATTTGGGGGAGTTGAAAATTCTTCATATATAGAGACAGCTAGTAGCAATATTCGTTTTTCATATCTATGATTTGTAATAATTACTTCGAGGTTAACCATCCAAGTTCCCCAGAGTCAACACATCTACATGTATTCCTGTATTCTGGTTCTAAAGGCGTTCATCGGGGCTTCCATAAAAGGATTTTATGTGATCACAATTTCTTATAAACAAATTATGACCGAAAATACTTTGAGTATAGCACTAGCATATAAAGCATACTTTTTTCAGGTTAAGGTTGTCAAACAGAACAATGATGATTATTAACAGAAGAGGCTCAACACACGCATATACAAACTTAAGAGCGCCATCATTACATCTTACAAACATAGTGTCAATGTTAATATTTGAGTTAATAAGCGACTGTAGCATATAAATATTAAATTTTCTAATTTTGTTTGACTTGATAAATCAATCTCTATTCATTTTAATGACTATAAGTTTAGGTGCTTACAACGCTAAAATCCGGGGTTAGATTCTGGACAGCGCGCCGAGATAGCCTATTGTGTAGTTTTGTGTTGAAACAAACAACTAGACAGTATGTTCACGCGTTTCATTCTAACCTACTGATTCAAACCTTAAGGTAAGACAGGCCTTATCGTATGACACCAGAAAAGACGAGTATACGAATCCTGTATCCTTCGTTTTCTAGATCCCTGCCAATTTTCATGTGCGCATTATTTCGTGCATTTCAGTAAATTGAATTTACTTCTTCAATAAAGTTACAAAGTTTTTGCTCCCCTATGGATCAGCAGTAAGATTGAGGACTAATAGCGCTAAAAATGTGGGTTTAATACCTTCAATGGGCACAATGCAGATACCCCTCTGTGTAGCTTTGCGCTTAAAAAGAAATAAAGATTTTTTCCACTTTGTTTTTTTACTAATACGCTTGCAATCGAATTATATTACTGTCTATTTCTGTTCTGTGTTTATCTCTCATCAGATAATGACAATAATTATCTGTTTGACGTTGTAGATTCGGTTTACCCAAAAGTCTTAACATGTCAGTTGAACTGAATAAAAAAAATCTATCTACCTCTTAACAAAATTAAATAGCTATTTTCCTGCTATATATAATGATAACTACTAAGTACTATACCATTACAAATATAACTCTAGCAACAAAAAGCGATCACGTTTGCTGCAAACGACCATAGAAAAGTAAGGTTTACGCGTAGCCTCAACAATATACATTATTATATGTAGCTCTTTTGTGCAGAGGGTGTTACAGTTGAGTGAAAATTAGCGAGTAAACGACATGTGAAAGACATTAAAGGTTCCTGCCTTAATAACACATTTATAGAATACAATATTTCCAGGACCAGGTAAAGTAATAGTTTTATAAAACGTTCATATTTCTTACTGTATCGAGATGTTTAAGGTTTTCCTAGGAACTCGTAACTTGAAACATATCATCCATTAATAATGCCACATTAATCAAACTGCCTTGTAATTATAGTAATGTAGTTAATTATCAGATCAATTTATTTTATTTTATTTTATATAAAAGTGAATGTAAACACGCAAAATATACAATTAGCGATGAAAAATAAGAACTCCTAATGAACCCCTTTTTTTAAGATATTCAGCTGATCCTACCAACCTTCTTTTCTTTATCATTATTCTTCACTACAAAACCAATCCAGCTAGATCTCGTGTCTTGTTTGGCGTTAATTCTCTGACATGGTGAACTAGAAGTTATCAAAGTTACACATGGTCCATCTTTCTGTACATTTTTTTCCGTTTCTCTGGAGAAACTCACGTTTATTTTTTGAAAAGGTACCATACATTTTTAACTCCTAAATAGTCTCAGTTCCAAAACAATCTAAATAGAATTAATTTCTTATAGCAACCTTTTTTATTCAACTCATGAACTAACGAATAAGTGTCATCAAACGCACAAATTCCAATAAACATTCTTATTGTAATTATCGTCGGCGTGAACACAAATAGCAGCTTTGTTTAGATACAACCAAGTTGTGTGTAGAGAACATTGTTATGTTATTAAATGAATGTAAACAAACACACTTTGTAAATTTGTTTGTTTTGAATTTCGCGCAAAGCTACACGAGGGTT